TTCTCTCCTTCCTTCTTTCCTCTCATCTTTCCTTCTTTCCTTCCTTCCTTCCTTCCTTCCTCCTTCCTATCTTCCTCTCTCCTCTTCCTTCCTTTCCCTTCTCTTCCTTCCTTCCTTCCTTCTTCTTCCTTCCTTCCTTCCTTCCTTCCTGTCTTCGCTTTCTCTCTCCTTCCTTCCTTTCTGTCTTCTCCTCCCTTCTTCATTCTCTCCTTCCTTCCTTCCTTTCTGCCTTCTCTTTCCTTCCTTCCTTCCTTCCTTCCTTCCTTCCTTCCTTCCTTCCTTCCTGTTTTCGCTCTCTCTCTCTCCTTCCTTCCTTCCTTTCTTTCTGTCTTCTCCTCCCTTCTTCCTTCCTTCCTTCCTTCTCTCTTCCTTCCTTCCTTTCCTTCTTCTTCCTTCCTTCCTTCCTTCTTCCTTCCTTCCTTCCTTCCTTCCTTCTGTCTTCGCTCTCTCTCTCCTTCCTTCCTTTCTTCTTTCCTCCTTCTTTCCTCCCTTTCTTCCTTCTCCCTTCTTTCCTTCCTTCCTTCCTTCCTTCCTTCTTCCTTCCTTCCTTCATTTCATTCCTTCCTGTCTTCCCTTTCTTCCTCTTCTTTTTTTTTTTAGTGAAGGAGTATTGAAGTAATTAGTATATGACTTAACCACCTGTCGAGATTCGCTCTTATAACTGACGGACTTTAGGCCTTCTACCTTCCCTACTTGAGACTGCCGTAAGTCATGTACGAGATTAAGGAAGCCTGGTACTACGAGAGAGAGAGAGAGAATTAAGGATCTTTCTTCTTCTCCTTCCCCTTCTTCCTTCCTTCCTTCTTTCCTTCTTTTCTCCTTCTTCCTTCCTTTCTTCCTTCCTCCTTCCTTTCCTTAATTCCTTCCTTCCTTCCTTCCTTCCTTCCTTCTCCTTCTCCTCCCTTCCTTCTTCCCTCTCTCCTTCCTTCCTTCTCTTTCCTTCCTTCCTTCCTATCTTCGCTCTCTCTCCTTCCTTCCTTTCTGCCTTCTCTTTCCTTCCTTCCTTCCTTCCTTCTTTCTTCCTTCCTTCTTCCTTCTCCTCTCCTCTCTCTCCTTCCTCCTTCCCTTTCCTTCCTTCCTTCCTTCCCTACTTCCTTCCCTCCCTCCCTCCCTCCCTTCCCTCCCTCCCTTCTTCCTTCCTTCCTTCCTTCCTTCCTTCCTTCCTTCCTTCCTTCCTTCCTTCCTCTTCCTCCCTTCTCCTTCCTTCCTTCCTTTCTGTCTTCTCCTCCCTTCCTCCCTTCCTCCCTTCCTTCCTTCCTTCCTTCCTTCCTTCCTTCCCTACCTCATCCTGGGCTGGTTGCTTTGTTTAATTAAACTCAACGTCGACTTTAATTTTCCGCCTGAGCGGCTGCGGTGCCT